ACTGTTCTGAGGAAGGAATTGCTGATAGCACTATTTGGCTTTTTTAGGTTCTGCCTCCAGGAAACGAGGAATTCTACTCCCTGTACTCTGCTCCGGGATAAGGAGAACCATCTGCAGAAGGAGCACCTTGAATTTCAGATAAGCTACCAGGAAATACCGACTGGCTTTTCTGCAGATACAACTCTTTCTCTGTAACCTTTTTAGCCATTCGAAAAGCTCTTGATAGAGAGACAGTAAATCAAAGTACAGGTTTATAATATTTTAACAATGCTACATTCACCAATAACATTAGTTAGGACTGCGTGCTCATTCCATCAAAAGATCCTAAAATGCTCATGGGACATCCTCCCACAGAAGGAAAGAGATCTGGTAGGCTATAGCAATGGCAAACAAGTTAAGCTGTCAGAGGACTGACACATCAAAGCAATCTGGAAAACAACTACCTCAGACACCCATTTTCAGCTTAGGGTCCTCAATATTTCTCCTCCCATGCGAAACCACAACTCCGCTAATCACAAATCCGGGCAATTCCAGCAATGTAACCTCCACACGCCTATGGCAGTGCAAAATCCTGGACATTTGCAAACAGTGTACGCTTCACTCTGGGCACAGGAAAGAGCATGCAGGGTCCCTTACCTTCTGACCTGCAGATTTTAATCACAGCTAGTTCTAATATAGTCCCATTTTTAGCAGAAGTATCAACAATCTTGACATTGTTTGTGCACGCATGGACACCCATGAATGGGAGAACCATTCTTAAGAACATGGGTCTGAACAACTGAAGCTGATACCGATTAAACAGAAACAAGATTCACAGTATCTAAAGCCACAGAGACTTTCAGTTTACATAAATCTGCATAATAAAAACCAGAGAGCTGGTTAACAAGACTCCTCCTTTCCAAAGAGAACCAAGAGGTAACACTATAACATTGTAGAACCCAAGCTCTACCAGTCACCAACTCTCATTAATGACTTTTCAAAGGAGCCAATAGTGCATTGAACTGGCATTTTAAAAGCTACAAATGATCATTGTCTTTAAAAATAAATTCTTTCAAACAAAATAATGTCCCATAAAGCATTATACACATCTAAATACATATACATTATTAACCCAACTACATATTTCAAATGGTTGGCAGTGATTCCGTTTTACATTAGCAGAGTTCATGGTGGGTTGCAGGCTTGCGTGGCTGGACGCCAACCCATTATTCAAGTTTGGATTGGGAACCCATGCTATTCCAGAGACAGACTGTGGAGAAATGGTTATGTTATGTTAAAGGCTTGGTCTGATCTTTTAATAAAGACTGTCTTGAGTATCAAGTACAGGAGCATATCAAATATAAGTACAGTTCGAGTATAATGAGTTAATATGAAAGGATGGGAGACATTTTTAACTATAATCTAGAAATTTGCGTGGCTTTTGTAAGGATTTATCATGTCCAGGACAACATGATCATAAATATTAATTTAAATAACAAAAACAAGAAATGTGCTACTAATGTGGGTTGATTTCATTAATCACAAGTCTAAGCTGCAAAACAACAGACACCATAAACTCCACTGACACCTACTTTCACAGGCTCTTTCCTCTCAATCCGGATTTCAACTCAAGCATGGCTTATACGGAGACCACATAATTTAACATCCCAGTGAAGACATCTGAGTGAAAGGGAAGAGATGAAGATAGCATGCTCAAAAATGGGAGTAAACTGGCACTGTTTCCAACAAATCAAAGCATATGATCCCTCTAAGTACAAATGGTAGTGTTTGGAAGTCAAGAATTTATCTCACAGTAGTAAACAGCAAAGACTTCACCTACAAATGCTCGCAGTGGAGTAAAATGTACCTTAACACAGTGGCACTGAAAAAGAACATATCGGAAACAGAGGAAGCTGATCTAGTTTCGGGCACGTGAGGAATTGTTGATGGCACTATTTGGCCCTTTTAAGATTCCTGGCTCATTCTACCCTCAAGAAATACGGAATTCTGCTTCTTGTGCTATACTCCCATGAGTAAGGATCAATCCCCAGTCGGGGTGTATGTGGAAAACAACTGATCGATGTTTCTCTCTCACATTGATGTTTCTCTTTCTCTCTCCCCTCTCTTTCCTCACCCCCTCTCAAATTAATAAACTTAAAACAAAAACAAACAAACAAAAAAACATCCATTTGCAGAAGCGGCATCTTGGATTTCAGATAAGGTAGTACCAAGAAATACTGCAGATACACTTCTCTGTAGCACCTTCAGTCACTTAAGAGGCTCCATAAATGGCACAGTAAGCCCAAGGGTAGGTTTATTCCATTTTCAGCTCAAGGATCGTCTAAGCAAAGTGCTCAGCACTAACGGGAACAGTGAAAAACCCAGGTGAACAAAGGGGAAGGGGAGGAAAACTGAGTCTCACTGGGGGATTCTGTACAAGGGTGAACCGAAATTAGCATCTGACTACCTACAAACACAAATAATATTTTTAAAACTTTTTTAAGTTTTCTAAAATACAACTTAACATAAGGAGAACAACAGGATACTAGTGTGGATCCCCAACCCTCCCTGCCTCTTAAGTTATCACTTGCAAAAACACTTGACTGGAACCGAGGGCTGTTAAACTAAAATGCAGAGAGGAGTATTGGGGGGAAAATAGGGAGAAAAATAATTTATCTCAAGTTTTAGAACATTTACCATAGTCTAACAAAATATTAAACTCAGAGGATTGGTTCCATTTACTAGGGGGGGAGGGGGACGACCCCTTGTCCCTAACGCCTAGAGGCAGGCTTTTGAGCAAGCAGCATTCACCCAGAAGGAACAATTCTGGAGAAAATGCTTTAGGTTCCCCTGACACCTTTGCTTGTCCTCCCAATGGGAGGAATAATTTATCTGATTATATAAGAAAGCTTGGCGTTTCCTGGGCCTTCTCTTCTGGGAAAAAGCGTTGAAATCACGATTCTCTGTAAGTCCAATTTTGGCTGCCAAGTCATATCCTCTAGTACTTTAACGTTATTGGGCGTTCCAAATTCAACAAAGCACCACCACTTAAACATTTAATAAATAATGAGAAGCAGATGGCTTAAAGATTTACTGCAAGTTGGTTTAAGCTAGTTTAGATTTGGGTTCAAGTTCTGGCTCTGTTATCTATAAAGAAATAAAGTTAAAGATTTTTAATTACGGTACCATATGTATAGCCCAAAGATTTATATGCTCAGATAAGACTGTTCAGATCTAACACTTCTCTTTAATACTTTCCTTTGCACAGTCACCACTCCCTATTTTCAAGACTGCCTCTCACACAACTAGGATTTTCCTATGGGGCACTGCCTCATTCAAAAGGACAAAACACATACCAAAAAACTCAAAACACATACCAAAAAACTCAAAACTCTGAGTGTAGTAGAGAGAGCTATTAAGAATTCTAACCTTATCTTTCTATCTCGGAACTGTAATTGAGATGGTTGTGCCAGAAGTGTAGGTTAATACATTTAATTAAAAAGGTCAACATTTTTTTGACTGAAAGTTAAGTCTGATTTGGCTCATTAACTTTGAGAACAGGCTTTGCCCATTTACATGACAGAACATTTTCTACAAATTCCATCAGCTCAATCTGCAGCTCCAAGTCTTTGATAAAAATATCTTTAAAGCACATACACAACGTACTGGATAGTATATCCTCTGAATGTAATTAATCATTTTTTAAATATACTTTTGATTTCAGAGGAGGAGGAGGAGGAGATTGAAGCTATCAAAGATTAATCAATCATTGACTGGCTGCCTCCTGCAAGGTTAACCCTTGCGGAGATTGAGCCCACAACCCAGGCATTTGGCCCTTGACTAGAATCGAACCTGGAACCTTTCAGTCCGAGGCCGATTCTCTATCCAGAGCCTAATCAGCTAGGGCAAAAATTTATTCTTAAAATTCAGATGTCAGGTTAAGCATGTGCCAAAAAAGAAAGACTAAGTAGGGTGAGAGCCGTGAAATGGTAGGGCTGCCTGGAGAGGGGCACAGGGAGATTGTAAGGTGATAGATGTTCTTCTAGAGCTTGGTTTGGGCACTTACATGTCTACAGAAGGAAGCACATTGTTTGCTAACTGTACCTCAATTTTCAAAATGTGCAAAAGATTCATATACTTTCAAAATTATTTCAGGAGTCTGTTAGCAAAAAAAAAATGTTAGCATTATTCTCAGCACACATGGAAGAAATTTGTTTTCTAAAACTTCTCTTTTGGCTTCTCTGAACCATGCAGCCTGATTGCCAACATATAGTGATACAGCACTATATAACTTGACTAATTAGATTCTTTTTTCCCATTGTAAGCTTTGCTATGTTTCTAATAGCTACCTGGGTTTAGAGGCCTAAGAACATTCCTTAACAGCATAAGGAACAGAGTCAATAATATTGTATTACGTATACATGACGTCAGGTGAGGGTACTAGACTTACAGGAGGATGGATCACTTCGTAAATTATTTATGTAACCTCTATGCCATACACCTGAAGCTAATATTGAATGTCAACTGTAATTGAAAAATGAACATTCCCAAACAGAAAATAAAACTAACTAAAGAAATGTTAATCTTCAAGTAATTTAGTAAATGAACATATTTTTGTTTTTACTGATAGTTGGATCCTAATTTTTTTTTATCCTCACCCAAGAATTTTTTTTAATGTTTTTTTTTATTTTTTAATCAATTTCAGAGAGAAGGAAGAGGGAGAAAAAGAAATATCAATAATGAGAAGGATTGAGCCCACAATCCAGGCATGTGTCATGACCAGGAATCAATTTGTGACCTCCTGGTACATGGGTTGATGCTCAACTACTGAGCAACACCGGCTGGGTGAGGACTTGTTTTTTTTTTTTGTTTTTTTTTTAAATTAGTGATTATAGAGAAAGGAAGGGGGAGAGAAACAAGGATCGGTTTCCTCCTATAAGCACCCCAACTAGAAATTGAACTCGCCACCTGGGTATGTGCCCTGATCAGGAATTGAACCCATGATCGTTCAGTGCATAGGATGGCATCCAATCAACTGAGCCACACTAACCAGGGCCCAGATCCTCAGCTCTGAAGGGAGGATGAAAGAACTCATTCTCAATTTTCACACATTTACAAACAAAAGTGGTCTTAATACAACATTTACATGAATAAACAAACAATGGATCAGACTGGACGAAGATGCTCAAGACCTACGTTTTGAATACTTGGCCTGACCCTGTTAGTATTTTTTAAGTTCAGATTCACAGCTATGCTATAAAAACCCTAATAACCAAATGAATCTCTTTCTTGCACGCAGGGCATGAAGCCCCGGTCTTCTTTAATCTCCTGGCACACTGAAAACAAGTGACAAGATGGCTCGTCTTTCCATGAATAATGTTCCCGTCGCGCGGTCTCTTCTCACATACACTACATGGCTTCAGAAGATTCCGGCAATCCTCCGTGCTGCCCGTCTCTGCTCTCTGCTTGCAAAGGTCAGCCGATTGTTCTCCCATGCTTGACACAGTCTCTTGGCTTTCAGAACTGTGTGCCAAATCCAAGAACTCCACAGAGTTGCAGGGATCAAAGAGTTTGGGGTTTTCTTCTTTTTTACATGAATCTTTAGGTATAACAACTGGAGCTGATATGGTTCTGCGGCAATCAGGGATATCAATTCCTTCATTTTCCTTCTCTTCCGGTATGGCAGTGATATCAGACGTGGAGAGAGAATGGGTTAACTTAGGACAATCTGAATACCAATCTTTCCTCAGGGCCCAGCACCGAAAACAGTATCTCTTGCTTGGAGAGTTAAATTTCTTGCACTCAGTACACTGCCACTCATCCTACAAAGGGAAGTGCAGCCAATTAGTACTCAGTGGGGACATGACGCTGAGAAAAAGGGAAGGTGGACCAAACTCTCATCATCTCCCTGAGCTACCGAGAGCCCAGAGAGTCCACACCACAAGTCTAGTCTAGAATTAAAATGCTCTATACCCACTTGGATAGTGACACAACTGCCAATTCAAGCCAAAATTTAATATAGCAATCTTCTTTAAAAGTTACATTAATTATTTTGGCTTTCTAATATAAATGGAATTTACATTGTTTGCTTTTCTGCTTTCTTTTTACAACTAACACGTTGAGAGACTAAAGAATGAAGAGATACTACTGTCATTCTTTTCTACTAAGAAATGTTATAAAATCTAACAAAAGAGCTACAATTATGAGATTTAGAAACTACTAACTTATTTATTCATGCTTTCTCACTGCTCTCAGGATCTTAGGTAGCTAACTAACTGTATGCCTAAATCACACCATCCAAAAATGAATGTTCTAAAAAAAAATAATGTTCTTATCCTTGAATGCCAAGTAAGTTTTTCCTAGATCTCCATATTAAAATTAAGAGATACTAGAGCTCAATAAATTTTACATGGCTTGCTAATTCAAAGGTAGCTACCTGGAACAAGTCCAGAGTATTTAATGTGATCATAGCCTGGCTTTCACAGGATCAATGCTTTGACTGACATGACTTTCAGAATAAAGATCAATCAAGCACTTCAAGTTTAGAAGTTATGACTCAATTGCCTCTAGACCAAAAAGCAGAGACACAACCATTTGTTAAACTGGGATGTTCCCTAGAGAGTCTCAAAACATTCTCATGCCAGCTGAAGATCCTCAGCTCTCAAAGGAGTCCTACACAAATACTCAAAGGACCTTCATAAAGACATGGCATTCATAAATGATGGTGTGTCATAGCCTAATTGGCATCGACTTTTCTTTTCTAGTAGTACATAAAATAATAGGGTTTGTTAAAGTCAATGTCATCTTTGATTTGATAAAATACAGTCTATTTGCTTAATAGGTTTTCTTGGTCCAAATAGCCATAGAAGTCTGATGAAGATAGAAATACTTAACCCAGCTACCTGTATTACGGTCAAGAACACTTAATGGATCAATATATTCCACTTTATTACCTAGCTATGCACAGATAATTTCCAATGAATTACTATAATGGTCAACAGTGGTGGGGTGGGGGAGGAATCATCACCAGAGACAACCTAAAATTTTTCCTATCCCCAAGCAGCAAAAAGTAAAATCAACCTCCTTATCCTCCCCTTATCCTCCCTTTTTTTTCTAGTGAGTTAGCTGAGAGGAACACTAAAAGGAAATGCGGACCTAGAATGAAAACAGAAAAGTAAGGAACACATTTGAGTCTAAACATTAGTTGTCAATTGGTGACAAATCCATAACTTTTAACTAAAAGCTTAATAATAAATTAACCCTCAATTAATATAAACCTGTGTGGAAACAGCCTTTCCATTTCTTTTAAGAAAACATTAAAATATAATTTTTATACCAACAAAAAATTTTAGATAGCTTGTAAGTCTATCTGTGGCACTGCAGAGGTGCTGGTGGGAAAAGCAGTGCAGTACTATTCTGAATAACTGTACTCACTGCACCGTGTCCAAACAGTTTTTATAGGAGGAGAAAGGCACAAAGAGGCTTTAAAGTCAATGCTTTCTACTCATCTCTTCTCAAATTCTAATGAAAACCTTTAACAAATGTAAAGAAGCCAACACCTCAGAAAAATTAAACAAAAGTGGGGTTGGGGGGAATAGCATTCTTCACAGTGAACTGTCGGAACGTTACCATCTCAGACTAGAGAAGCGTACCTCAGAGGCAACCTCTACATCAGTGTCATCACATATGGACTTAGAGTCCTCAAGGTCATCACTTTTTCCCACTTCAGGCACCTGTGACAGCAAAGATATCTCATTAGTAAGGATTACCTATTTCACATGAGTTTATTACCCAAAAAAAAAGATGAAAGGGCTTCAATTTAAAGCTCATATCCTGCCTCCATCATTAACACTTTAAAAGGAGATAGCTTACATATGAGACCAAAAATGATTCTGTACACACCTAGCACCCAGAAGAGAAAGGGTGCCCTAAATAATGACAAAAAAAAAAAAAAGCCCTCACTGGGATGCCTCAGCTACTTGGGTCATCCTGTGCACTGAAAGGTTGCTGATTTGACTCCAGGTCAAGGCACAGGCTGGGGTTGTGGAGTCCATCCCCGGCAGGAGGCATGCAGGAGGCAGCTAATCAAACTATCAAGTCAATCAATCATCTCTCCCTCTCTCTCTCCCCCCACAAAAAAAATTTTAAAATCTTAAACAACAAAGTATTAGAGTAGAAAAATCATAAATTATTAAATGTAGAAATTTATCTTGGGAATCTAGGCAGGCATTGTAAAAGCAGTGTATAAAATAAGAAATTTAGATGTGAAAAATGAAAACAAAGTATTTTAAAATGTTATTCGTCATATTCAAAAGTACAACTAGTTATGTAATACTCTGGCTGTCCTATAAAAACATGCCTACAGACCAGGAAACAAGAAATGTGGAAAGTGTCTTCTAAATTCTGTAATTTAGAATTTAAAATTCTAAAAATGAAAACCTTAGTTTTATGACACAGTATGTGGAACAAAACCAATTATATACAATTATGACCCTCTGTATAGCAACTTTGTCACAATAGTTTAAGTATTTTAAGTCCCAGCTCTCTATAGAAGTTTCCAAATGTCAGCTTTGTCTTCATTCTAGCCACCTGCATTCCCTTTAATTCTACCCACATAACTAGACTAAGAGAACCCAACCATCTATCTGCCCACCACACACACAGGACACCCCTTTCAGGAACCCAAATCACTATGAAAATCTCTTCAATTAAAAGAATGATCCACTACAGTTCTGTTTTCTGCTCTATTTAGTCGGTGGATATTTACTGAGATTCTTGACTATGTCAGGCACTGGAACCTGCTTCCCAATTTATTTTGAGACTTGAACACGTTTGTATGACTCTTCATCTTGATATATTCCCACTATGTACTCAGAATTCTAGCTCCCTTTTCCCCCCTATTTAAAATCTATAATAAAAAAACTCATCTATTTTCTTTTGGGTATAAAATGATTATGGAATCTATTGACATGTCCAGGAAATACGGATTTTTTTCTCTCTCTACAGGCTGTTGTGGCCATTTAGAACTGTGCATTGTTAGCAACAAAAGTCTCCAGAAGAAGAAAACTATACAATGAGAAACTAGGCAAGCAGGAAAAGGATAGAATATTGCTTCTAACAGAGGAGGAGCTTTACCCATGGAGTCCTAGTCTATTTTTAACATATTAAGTGCCCAGTCAGTCACCAGTGACTGACACTATCTTTCCATCCAGAAGACAAAATAGGCTGGCGCTTAATGTGTTAAGGTAGTGTTGGTTAACTGAATGTGAATCCTAAAATTAGACATAGAAAAATACTAAGTAAGAAAGGGGGTGGGGTGATTATGGAGTCATTTGTTGTAAAAAGCGAAATAGTATAGGTCATGTCACCAGATATGAATAGATTATACTACACACACATAAATACAACCAATGTGAAAAATTTCAACATATCATTTTGTCGCTTACTTTTCCTACTTCCTCACTTGTTTGTTCAATATCAGCAGCTTCAACTTTTATTCCAGCACCAAACTGCTCTGATACCGACTCATTCAAAAACCACACGTCATCTGTCGTATCTGAAGCAATGACAGTACCTACATCCTAACAGAAAAAACAAACAGTAGTCAGAGGCTTATCAGAGACATTGAACCAACATAAATTAACCCAAAACTCAATGTCCTCATATATCTCCAAACACCCAGTCTTTCTCCAATGGACATCTATTCATTCAACAAATACTTACTATGTAAAAGCTATTGGATGTCCAGATGCCTGGTAAGGAATTCTGTTTTTCTTTTTAATTTTGAGAGTATGTTTATTAAAGCTCAGGACAGTCAGAATTTTGTATTTTAACAGTAGATCACGTACAACATCTGAGAAACAGTACTGAAGAGCCTAAAAGCTAAAGACTCATAGATGCTCAAGTAAATAGAACCCATCCTCTGCACTCCTTCCCTCAAGTGGCACTCTGAGAGCCTAGAAAACATTCTATTAACTGTAAGATAGCCCTCCTTTAATAGTCAATGTTTACTGAACAAAAAGTGAGAAATACTGACAGTGACTCAAACCTTCTCTCCGCTTTCTTAAACAACTTTAAATATAATTTTCTGCATTCAACTATGGTCATTTATGACATGCTTTTCTATAATATTCCTATGAAACAACTTATTATTTTGCCATCATTTATCCATTCATTTACTGAAGAAATACTGAACGACTATGATTTGTCAGCGTGGGCAGTAGAAGAGAGTGGTTAGTATTATTAAAGCCCGGTCTTACATTTCAGTGGGGATAAACAGTCAATATTCACATAAACACAATAAAATAATCATCTGACAAAGTGAGAAGTGCAATGGAGAATGTAAGATAAAGGAGCAGAATGACAGTGGCTTAAGTTATGGCATGGCAGTGAAAGTATTAAGTGGTTGGCTAGGTTTTGGATAACGTGAATGTGACATATGACAGAGAAAGAAATCCACCAAACGCTACTCTTTCCAAAAGAAAAAAAGAAGTTTCTCTTCAAACATGAAATTTACCTGATTTGTCTGTAAATCAGTTGAGCCATTACTTCTAGGTGTGTAACTGTTTCCCAAATTTCCTAAAAACCACCATGGCAAGCCAGCTACATCCCACTCCTCCAGCCCGAGGTCCAGCCTAGAGGTCTCATCTACAGAAGTCAAATGAAAAGCATAACTATGTATGCAAGCCTTAAGAAGCAAGACTCTCTACAATAATTACAATCTCTTTATAAGTAAAAAGTCACTCCTGCTCCCAGTAAGAAAGAATCAGAAACCAAATACCTGCTCAGTTGCCAAGCTCACATCTACTCTCCTGTTTAGACTTCATTAGCTATTTCAGAGTTAAGATATCTAAAATTTACAAATACTGCAAATCCAAAATACAATAAGGCCCCATATATTTCAAGTAAAAGATCCCATGTCCTACATCTAAATGACACTCAAGGCAGTTATAACATAGTTTGTTGTTAGCACATGAAATTTTTTTCTTTCTTTGCAGTCAAGCAATCTTTTTTTGTGCTTTACTTGTTTCCTACTTTCTTCCTCTCTCTTCTTCCAATGGACTAGACATACCAGTGGCAACCACAGGTGTTTAAATGTGCTGAGGTACATACATATGGTTTAAAAGATTTCTGCAATAATGGGTCCTTGCTAGAATAAGTTTATCCTATCTACTTACAAAGTATGTTGATCCTGTCTATCAAAAGGTATATCTGTCTCAGGGAAACTTCAACTATCTTTTTACTTACTCCTTGCTGAAGTTACCAGAAACCAAACTCCTAAGACGAATATTAATTATCTTCACCTAGTCAAGCTCTGTAACTTCTTATGCAGGAAATGGAAACAGGCCATTCTTTCCACATATAAAAATTTTGTCCTCTCTACCTATACCTCTCCCTAAAAATACTAAGCTATTTATTCTCAAAACTTACATCACAAACTATATATAGTCTCTTGAATTGGCTGTTCTTATGTTTTAAACAGCCTTCTAAGTAGAAAATAAGCCAAGACTTGCATTTAAAGAAACAAAATCCTACATTAATGCCACAGACTGAAATAAGCTCCAAGGCAATTAGGTAGCTCAATATTCCATTTACACTCAAATGAAATTTGAGGAAAATAAATACAGAAATTGATTCAGTTTTAATGTAAACATTTAAAACAATTTCAACAGTATAACATTCCTGCCACTGCTCCAAATGTGAGCCTAGACTAGAAACCATAATGACAAAGTGCCTTTGAGGAAATTTCTATTTTATACATTTTTGCAGAAAATAATTTAGGGGATATTTCATAAATAGGGCTTGGGAAAACTTCCAATAAATATATCATTAATTTAACTTAACCGTACCACATCTGCATGTATGGCAAAGATCTGATTACCACCACCTAAGGGCAAAGGAATTACCAGGCTTCTATGTCTCATTCTTTGCTCTGAGATAGTATATTTTATCATTTTTGTAAACTTCAAAAAATCTATATCAAGCAAACAAATCAAAATAAAAATTCTAACCAAATCAAATATGTACAGGGGCACCAATATTTAAAAGACCAAGGCAGCTAAGTGACCAGGTGGCAAACTGGTAAGTGGGTAGCCATCTTCTCCTAGCTTACCAGCTAAAGGAAGGGTCTGCTCCACTCCAGTGACCTGGGTTGCTAAAAGAGCACTGCCATCATCTTCAAAGTTAACAGCAGTGACAGGATTTAAAAAAAAAAAAGATTTTCAGAAAAGAATGAGGAAGAAGTATGACATATGCACCTTCTACTTCACCTGGAAGAGACAGCATTATATTTCTTATTTTTCTATATAACGATATTAATTATAGCTAGTGCTTAATTTGGATAGATGTCATTCCTAGAAGTTATCAAAGGAAAAGTCCACATAGCTTTAATGCAAAACCCACCTTCTCTGGAAGGTGTGCACTTATCCTGTGAGGTAGGCAGTGTGGGCATATTGCCTTCTTCGGTACTTTTCCTGGAACTGGGACTTTCCTCTGCGCTTTGCTGGAAAGAAGGGAAAGGCGCCTGTCAGTGCAGTGGAAGTGACTGAGACCAGGGATGCAGCAGTTCCTTTCTGGCTCACCAGTTAGTGTGCCACACAATGGGTTACACACAAGAGAGAGAGCTCGCATTCACCCCAGTCATCAAATAGAGGCAACATCTCAACCCTTTGTGAGCAGAGCTAAGAGAATCACAAACCTGGGGGGAGAAAAAATCTCTGCACAAACAACCAAAATGTACTGTTAAAAATAAGCTATCAATATAAACCCTTTAGCCTATTACACACTTAGGCATAATTCAGAAAACATGTGAAATCCTCACCATATACCAAGATGATCGTAAGGTTTTCCCAGGTTTGGGGAAGCTTTAAGAATTGGCCTGACATGAACTGAATTGCAACAAGCCTGTTAAAATCTAATAAAAGCAGTTGCCTCCAACACCTATGATTATACATTGTCACACACACACAAGCGCGCACACAAAGAGGATGCAACTGGAAGAACTGAAGATCAGAAGTGCTACATCCCAAAGAAAAATTCAGAGACTGGAACTCTGTTATGGACAGAACAGAGAATGTTCACTCTGTCCCTGGTCTGTGAACTCCCAAGAACCTTTCTTATGAAATTCTTACCACATTCATCAAGAGGCCTTGGGAGTCCAAGATCCATAGGTACAGAGAAGGGGCCACTCTGTACAACAAAAGAAGTCACCATGTGGTGATTTTACCTTCAGGTGGTCTTGACTTGGAATATCCAGATTTTGATCCTGTGCGATAGCGAGAGTCTGAGCAGCATCTGGATAGCAAGTAAAACAAAAGGAAAACCTTCCCTGGTAATAGCCATTCTTTCCACACAGAAAGGACCTCAGCAAACAGCCCTGGAGCCAGGTTGGTCCCTACAGATGTACCTCTCCATGTTGGTTTAACAAGGCTCTCGTCCAAAAGAAATGGAAAAATCAAAACTGGTAAAAATCACAAAAGCCAAAACAGACTATATTCAAAATATGTTACCAAAATGTAATCTGGGGGAAATGAAAAATAACAACAACAAAAAAATGTTCTTCCATCGCAAGCTTTCAAATTTCAATATAAAAAGTGATTTCAAGAGGAAATAATGGTGCACGTTTTTATCATCTCTTCCTATAGGTATTTTATTACCAAATCTGCCTCCTACTTGTAAACAACAAAAAGAAAAGGTCTGGCTCTAACCGGTTTGGCTCAGTGGATAGAGTGCCGGCCTGAGGACTGAAGGGTCCCAGGTTCAATTCCGGTCAAGGGTATGTACCTTGGTTGCAGGCACATCCCCAGAAGGGGGTGTGCAGGAAGCAGCTGATAGATGTTTCTCTCTCATCAATGTTCTAACTCTCTATCCCTTTCCCTTCTCCGTAAAAAAAAAATAATAAATAAATAAAATCAATAAAATATATTAGAAAAAGAAAAGGACTGGCTTTTTCATTTAATTTTTATTTTCAAATGTTAAAAAGTTATAAAGGGAAATAAAATCTGAAAATCTGGAATTTCTCACTTGCTTTATAACACAATAGCATCTTCATGTAAACATACATTCTAAGTGTCAATGATTTTAGTTTAAATTCCCAACAACTGAACATAGATTAGGTTTTTTAAATCAACAAGTCTCATTTTTCCCAGTTACTATAAACATTTCCTAAGAAGGACAAGGAAGCAGAGAAAGTTTTTCTCAAGACCAATAAAAAGAAACAAAGGAAACAATAACCTAAGAGAAATTCTTATTCTGAAAGAAATGTATTTCAAGGACTTGGACATTTTAAACAGAACAAAAGGTGAAAGCTTAGCTTCAGACCATTTAATAATCTGGACCACGCAGAGGCTATGCATAACTGCCTTGCTTATATGTAGGCCTACCATGGATTGGGTTCATCGGCTACTATCATGTTCAGAGATCTTACGGAAAATAATCTTTCTCTAAATAGACTGGCAGAGAATACAGATCCTACAACTCGTCTCACAATCCAGTTGTTTTGCACAAAACATTTTCAAAATTGTAATTATAAAGAACATTATTTCTAGAAGTACTGTTATAAACAGAGATACTGAGAAGTTTAAAAGACAGCATTTTTTGACCACAGTGGTCCTCAAAGTACAGTTAGCATACAACACAGATAAAGCACTTCTTTACTGCCATTCGATTACTATCATTTATATTCTAAAGCCTTATTCTGTTATAACAAATAAGTAGTGAAAAACAAGTTATCTGAGAAAACTACAATGTACAAAGGAATTCTTAAATACAAAGTTTATCATATAAAATTCATTTTATTAGGAGGCATGTAGAAAATTGGAGAAATGGTTTATTAAGAACCACCATCATTTTAAATAATATTTTCCTCAGCCATCAAAATTAAGTCTTTAGCTCATTAGCAAGGGTGTAAAATAGGTATACGGAAAGTACTTGTCTCATTCGTCCTTTCATATAAAACAGCACAGGTGACCCATTTTACAAAGATCAACCACAGGTACTAATCCAAGTGCAAATCAGAAAGACAAAGTTACTTGTACTATGGTTATATAAGGTCTGGATAAAGATTATAGCAAACAATATTTTTGCAGGTGAAATTATTCCAAAGTGACAAAATAAAAAATAAGACATTTTACAGATTTAATGTTCAGAGAAAATAATGTGTTTAAAAAAATTGATTGGAGCAAATTTTATTATAAGCAAGGATTAAGGAGGCAACAATGTGTGGCACAACGGGGAAAAAGGGAGGTGGGTTTGCTGGCTAATCAGAAACATCTCCTGTACCACTTAATCAGTGGCATCTGAAACTGGACTAGTCACTCATTCTAGTTTTTAAAATCTTAGTTTCTTCATCTCCAAACCTTCCCCACAGGGTTGTTGTGAGGATCAACTGAAATGTTTGCTATAGAAATGTTCATTTTCACACATGGCATGTTAAATTCTGCAAAGTGCAAGAAAGGAAATGAGAGAAAGGAAATGAGAAGGTGAGAATTATACCTTCTCTAGATATTCAGAGAAAGATGAGAAAAATTTTACTGTAAAGGAGCAAATATAGAATCCTCTATTTCAAGCCTATAGTGAGTATCCCAGAACAGCCATACTATTTTTCAAGTGACTGAATTTCAATAAAGCGCCATACCATTCCCAAAGCCTTCCCTATCAAATAGAAATTTACAGCTGGGTGAAGTGGGCAAAGTCTCAATGAAACCAACAAGGCTTCAAAATTCAATGTAAGTTCAAAATGACATTTCAATGAGAGCAACTTCTCATTTAAAGTGTAAATCTTTATTAGGAATACATTTTTTTCAACCTTGTTTCAATAACTTACTGAAAGTTTGTCAATCAAAAGTGCTGTCTTAAGTGGAAAAGTTTCATTATTTGGAAATGAGACAGGGTTGCATTTCCGTTGTCTCCAGTTTATTAATTCACTTATCTCTAGCACACCACACTTCAGATCCAAAGCGGCCAGTTTCCTGCACACGCCTAATAAATTAAACTCAAAGTGCAGGATTAAGAGGTACGCAATCAAGCAAAGGGTTAGACCAGTGGTTGGCAAACTCGTTAGTCAACAATACAATAGACTCGCCCAGGCTGCGGTATTTTGTGGGAGAGCCACACATGGCTCTCGAGCCGCAGTTTGCCAACCACGGGTTTAGACAACTGGCCTTCAAATAACAGAAAGCGCCCTAGTTGGTTTGGGTCTGTGAACAGAACGTCAGCCTGGGGATTGAGGGGTTCCGGGCTCGATTCCAGTCAAGGGCACATGCCTGGGTTGCAGGCTTGATCCCCAATTAAGGGTGTGCAGGAGGTAGCCAATCAATGATTCTCTCTCATCATTGATGTTTCTCTCCCTCTCCTTCCTCTCTGAAATCAATAAAAATATATTTTAAAGAAAAAGACAAAAGCGGCCGAAACCGGTTTGGCTCAGTGGTAGAGCGTCGGTCTGTGGACTAAAAGGTCCCAGGTTCGATTCCGGTCAAAGGCATGTACGTTGGTTGTGGGCACATCCCCGGTAGGGGGTGTGCAAGAGGCAGTTGGTCGATGTTTCTCTCTCATCGACGTTTCTAGCTCTCTATTTCTCTTCCTTCCTCTCTGTAAAAATTCAATAAAATATATTTAAAAAAATTAAAAAAAGACAAAAGCGTTAAAAAAAAACAATATTTTCTAAGAATGAAATGGGTGAATATTCACGACATATTAAGGTTTTTTTTTTTTAAATAAATAACAGAAAGCTAAAACTATTAGGTGAAAGGTTCTTGGGGGACCTTTATAATAGATGGATCAGGTTGACCCCATGTAAGCCCACAGACTCTTATCACTGAAAGAAGGACACAAAGACCTTACATGACTCTGATGTAATGCACCCCCTATGAAATCTTCCCAGAAAAAAACTTAAACTTGAATCTATTCAAGCACCACTAATTTATCAAAGATCGAACAGAAAAACACGTTAGACAACATCACAATCTACAAACTCTACTAGAATGTCATGCTATTGGACAAATGACTCATTTCTTCACCAAATTAATGAAATAAAAACACAAGGAATGTTAGCAACCAAATGTAGTGTGGGGGCTCTGAACCAAATGTGGACTTTGAACAAGCCAAGTGTGAAAGATATTTCTGTGATAACTGAAGGTAACTACATAAACTGGCTAATGGATACTATTATGAAGTTATTTAGTTTATCAGTTTGTTTGGTGTAATAATGACACTATAGTTATGTTTAAAGGAAAAAAGACGTGATCTGTTAGCAATTTTAAAAGTATGCCCACATAAAGCAAATATGATCAAATGTTAACAATTGCTAAGTCTAAGAGGCGCACACATTATACCAACCTAACTTTAGTATATTGGAAAGTTTTCACAAGTGAAAGTTAAGTGACATAGTAATCATTCTGTGCGATGGTATCCCTCCCAGTCATTCCAAGAAAGCATTCCATCTCCACCTTGATCTTGTTTTCCCTCCCATCATTTGCCCCCTTGAACTTAAAACTATGATATAGACTGAAAAAATATGATGAGACATACCTGCAGTAGCAGTGGTTAAAGCGACAAGATTCTTTCTTAGCATAGCATAGAGAGGGCTGTCAAGAAGATAAAATAAAAAAGTAAAAAATAAAAAATAAATAAAAATAAAAAACAAAAAATAATTGAAAATAAAAATAAAAAATAAAAAAGATAAAATAAAAAATTAATAATGAAGTTTCCAATTAAAATGTTAAGTGTGTTTCTCAAACACTATCGCTGAACTTCTTAACATGTGGAGAGTATTTTCCCCAGAATAAATCTTTTGTTTTCTAAAATTGATTTGAGAGAGGAAGGGAGAAAGAGAAACATCAATAGGTTGCCTCCTGCACATGTCCCAACTGAGGCTCAAACCCTCACCCTGGGCATGTGTCCTGACTGGGTGGATGGGATGGGAGGGGGCTCCAACCAACTGAGCCACACTAGCCAGGCAGATCTTTTAATTATTAAAATATCAAGATGTTCTCAGTGGCTGAGCATTGACCTATGAACCCGGAGATCACAGTTCAATTCCCAGTCTGGGCACATGCCCAGGCTGCAGGCTTGATCCCCAGTAGAGGCAGTCAATCAGTGATTCTCTCTCATCATTGAGGTTTCTATCTCTCTCCCTCTCCCTTCCTCTCTGAAATCAATAAAAAAACTATATTATTTTAAAAAACTAATTAATTTACATTTTATTAATTTAGCTAAGAGTAACCGAAGTGGGGAGTTTCCTTTGCAACTACTCTTTTCTTCTAGGAGTTAGTTAGGGAGTGCTGGTGGGAGTCTTACCAAAGAAAGACAAAATGAAGCTATAGAAAGTCAACGCTGCTTCTCGATTGCTAATTAGCCTTTGATTGTATAAATAACCACAAGTCATAAAAATCACAGGAGTCCCTCATCAATCTCAAACTGCCCCGCAATTCTACATTGCTCATTATCTCACTCTTCCTCTCTCTCCAACTGTTTCACAAAATTCTAACCTAGTCACATCAAGCTCCCTAATATCCGATCCTTCATGCATGATGCTCAACTGGCACTAAGCCCTCTTTCAACTGGCCTCTTCTACTTGAATCCTGACTCCTATATTATCCTTCAGCTCTCAGCTCAAATGTCAATTTCTCTAGGAACCTTTCCGTGATCCCTATGACCGTAAACCCCACCCATAGTATAATTTTACCTTATCTATACTAATAAAAGGGTAATATGCTAATTAGACCGGGAGAACCCCGGATATCCTTCTGGACAAAGCCATGGTGGCAGGGCAGAGGCAGAGGCGTTTAGGAGCAATGAGGCCAGAAGGAGAGGGCAGTTGGGAGTGATCAGGACGGTGAGGGGAAGGGAAGAGGGGGGGAGGGAGGGGCCAGTTGGGGCGAGATCAAGCCAGAAAGGGGGGGCAGTTGAGGGCGAGCAGACTGGTGTGGGAGGGGGGCAGATAGGGGCAAACAGGCCGATTGGGGGTGGGAGGAGCAGTTGGGGGCGAGCAGACTAGCAGGTGGAAACTAGTTGGGGGTGATCAGGCCAGCAGGGGAACAATTAGGCACCATTTGTAGGCATATATAATAGAAGCCTAATATGCCAAGTGTCTGGTGGACCAGTTGGCCATTCAACCAATCAGAGCAGGCTGGCAGAAGAATGGTTAGGGTGTAATTAGGCTGGCAGGCAGAAGTTGTTAGGGGCAATCAGGCAGGCAGACAAGCGAGCAGTCCTGGACTGTGAGAGGGATATCCCCTGTGGAATTGGGCCTAAACCAGCAGTTGGACATCCCCTGAGGGGTCCCAGATTGGAGAGGGTACAGGCCAGGCTGAGGGACACCCCTCACCACCACCATGCACGAATTTGGTGCACCGGGCCACTAGTAAGGGGAAGAGCACCAGTCTCACTACACTTTAATTAAGCCCCATAAAATCAGAGACTGTAGCTCCTTACTATGTTCTCAGTGTATCATAGGCCACCTGACATACGTAGGTCCTTAAATATTTGTTGACTAGAGGAATAGATAACCACTAATAACTTATGGAGATGAAGTAGTTAGGTATAAGCACTCTTTTTACCTGGGATCTTTCACAGAGAAGCTCTGACATCCTAGGAGTTCTCCCAAAAGATCTCCACTACAATATACCATATGCTGCTCCCGAGGATCATAAAGCTGCTTCATTGTTATATATTGGCCTAGAAAGTGCATGACCTGCACAGAAATAAATTATCATTAAGCGTTCTGTCCAGCTGCCGTCAAAAACATACAAATTGCCCAGCTGGCATGGTTCATGGTTGAGCATCAACCTATGTGCCAGGAAGTCATAGTTTGATTCCCATTCAGGCACATGCCCAGGCTATGGGCTCAATCCCCAGTGTGGGGTGTGCAGGAGGCAGCCAATCAATGATTATCTATCACTTACGTTTCTCTCTCTATCCCTCTCTCTTCTCTGAAGTCAATAAAATATTTTTAAAAACACACAAATCCTATATAATAAAAGCCTAATATGCCAAGTGTCCAGTGGACCAGTTAGCCATTCAACCAATCAGAGCATAATATGCTAATGACATGCTAAGGCCCTTCCACCACTCACTATGACGTGCACTGACCACCAGGGGACAGATCCTCCAACCAGTAGCTTAGCTTGCTGCTGAGGTCAGGCTGATCAAGACTGAGCAAGATGGGCCAGACACGCCCCGGAGCCCTCCCACAGTCTCGCCCAGGCTGACCAACCTCCTGCGACACTCCCAGGCCCAATCAAGGCCTTTGGTTAATTATAAGGAGATAAGTTAGGTTTATTAGAGGAAGAGGTAACATATAACGGTCTGGAGTCCTACAACAGGATAACTAAACCCAAATACTAGGTTCATCCACTTATTATCATTCTGGACATTAACAGAGCCTTATGTTTTATAATAGAAATGTATTGGTCTGGCCGAAATCAGTTTGGCTCAATGGATAGAGCGACGGCCTGCAGACTGAAAGATCCCGGGTTCGATTCTGGTCAAGGATATGTACCTTAGTTGTGGGCACATCCCCGGTAGGGGGTGTGCAAGAGGCAGCTGATCAATGATTCTCTCTCATTGATGTTTCTGACTCTCTATTCCTCTCTCTTCCTCTCTGTAAAATATCAATAAAATATATTTTAATTAAAAAAAAAAAAAAAGAAATGTATTGGTCTGACAATGAGAAAAAATGGTGAATTTACCTAGTATCACCTTTAAAATTTTCTCACCAATCCAAATAAAGGGGTCTCTCCTATTACTCAAAGGAATAAACATTAAATTTGCCTGGGTCATAACATTTTGCAAGTCCAGGGGTACATAACTACGATAGACTGAAGTGTACTATGTTCACATAATTATTTTTGACAAATGAAGTACAATGGTTAATAAACTGGAAGTGCATAAAACACCCTTTAAGTGTTTATTAAAAATTTAATTTATCTGGCTTTTCTCACAAGTTCACAACATGGAAGGAAACAGACAAGTCCATGATTCAAAACTTAGAAATGACCTAATTTTATCCTAATGTTTTCTTTAGGTAACAGATTTTTTTTTAATTGCTTAATAATTAAGTTCACTTAATGACAGTAAGAATTTTGCTCTATTCTCATTATACCATACTGACTTAATACCATACTAACAACTAATATTTAAAAATATTTAAGGAATTCCTCTTTATGTACCTGGTAGGGTCAATTCATAACAGAGCTTATCATATAAACTGTCTCTATCCAACTTTTCCCCCAGTAAACTATGCCATGCTATTGAAGCTAGCATAACTAATCATTTTGATATAAAAATCCACATTCTGGCGTGGCTCAGTGATTGTCAACCTAGGAAACAGGAGGTCACAGTTTGATTTCCAATCAGGGAACATGCCCCATTGTGGGCTCACTCAATGATTCTCTCTCATCCTGGATGTTTCTGTGTCTCTCTCCCTCTTCCGTCCTCTCTGAAAGCAATAAAAATATATTTTAAAAATAAATTGCCAAAACCGGTTTGGCTCAGTGGATGAGTGTTGGCCTGCGGACTGAAAGGTCCCAGGTTCAATTCTAGTCAAGGCCATGTACCTTGGTTGTGGGGCGTATCCCCAATAGGGGATGTGCAAGAGGCAGCTGATCGATGTTTCTCTCATTGATGTTTCTTACTCTCTATAACTCTCTTCCTTTCTGTAAAAACTCAATATTTTTTAAAAATAAAAAAATAATAACAATCCACACTTTAATAAGTTTGAAAAAAGTAATTATTTAGCAGAATTTTAGAGATATCAAAATTATGGACTATACATAATTTAAAATGATAGAGGAAATGTGAGCATTCTAAAAATCTGAAATGCCTCCAGATTTGTTTCCTTGAGGGTTTTTAAAGGCTCAGGAGTGGGGTATTACAGACAGGTGTTAAGCTTTCTAAAAAACTCAAAGAAAGACTGATAACTTTGTTTCTTCTGTTTAGGAAGCATTTACCTTACTAAAAGCAAGCACAGTACAAAGAGATAAACATTTTAATACCCTTTTCCACATAGAGAATTCAGCTTGTTTTTGCTTTAAAAAAAAACACAAAAAACTTTAGAAGCTAAATAAGTTATATAGTGTTTAAAATAACTCATAGTGTTCAAAAAAATTATCTGACAGCTACAGCATTTAGTTCCTGCCTGGTAGTATATTCTATAAATCACAGACAACCTCATTTTTTTAAATCTTATACATGCTTTGCATTTTAATTCTGAGATCAATAAATTCATGGTTAGTTTTGTTTAGCTGACAACAAATTTCAAAAGGGAAATATGAAATTCAACTTAGCTCCATGGTCTTTGAAACAGAGCAAAAGTTGCCTTCCCAGTACCTCAGGAGGACTCGCCTCCTTACAGCTGAGTTCAGAACTACAAGTTCATCAGCTTGTACTTCTGAGCTGTTCTTAAAACAATTTTCTTTGCTAGCTTACCTGGGTAACAGTGAAGATTTCACCTTGGGCACCTGCTGCCTGCAAAATCTTCAGAAGTGGCAGTTTTGGTCGTACCTAATAAAAACATAAAATAAACCTGACATTTACATTTCAATTAGATTGATTTCTGATACCCTAGGGAACGAGAACTTCCTTCAACTCTTTAAACACTGATACTTATCTAATCCTATATAATAAAAGGCTAATATGCAAATCAGACAAACTGTGGTAAGACCGGTCACTATGATACACACTGACCACCAAGGGATAGACGCTCAATGCAGGAGCTGCCCCCTGGCTGGGCTCAAGGCTGGCTAGGGCAGCAGCAGTGGTGGGAGTCTCTCCCATCTCCACAGCAGTGCTAAGGATGTCCACCTGCCAGCTCAGGCCCGCTCCCCACTGGAATCAGGCCTAAGCTGTCAGTCAGACATTCCCCGAGGGCTCCCGGACTGGGAGAGGGCACAGGTTGGCTGAGGAACCCGCCCAGTGCACAAACTTCGTACACAGGGCCTCTATTAATATATAATCTTTCAAAGCATAGAGTAACTACAGATGAACAGACTAATTACTGAAAAATCATACTTTTCAAAGATAGCACATTCACTCTACTAAATGGCTATAAGAGGAAAAAAGAAAATATGTGTTGGTGAGAATGTGGAGTAATTAGAACCCTGCTGCACCTCTGGTGGGAACATGAAATGGTGCAGCTCCAGTGGAAACAGTTTGACAGTTCTTCAAAAAGTTAAACATAGAATCTGGACATTACCAGCAGTTCCACTCATAGGTATCAACCAGTGGTCAGCAAACTCATAAGTCAACAGAGCCAAATATCAACAGTATAACGATTGAAATTTCTTTTGAGAGCTGAAAACCAACTTCTGAGCATGGGCCACAAAGTTTCAATCGCACTGTACATGTGGCGCCCGCACATGGTATTTTGTGGAAGAGCCACACTCAAGGGGCCAAAGAGCCGCATGTGGCTCACAAGCAGCAGTTTGCCGACTACTGTGTTAGGGGAAAAGGACTTTGGAGAAAGGCATGGGTCAAAAAAGTCTCTATACTGCCCAACCAGTGTGGCTCAGTGGTTGAGCATCGGACCATGGTTCAATTCCAATCAGGGCACATGCCTAGGTTGCAGGCTCAATCCCCAATAGGGGATGTGCAGGAGGCAGCCAATCAAGGTTTCACTCTCATCACTGATGTTTTTCTCTCTCTCTCTCTCTCTCTCCCCCCCTCCCTCCTTCCCTCCCCCTTCCTCTCTGAAATCAATAAAAATACATTTTTAAAAGCCACTATAAATATTTTAAAGATAAGTACATTATGAAGTTTGAATCTTTTCTAAGATTACATTTGCTATATTTATAATTTAAATTTTTATTTAAAGAAAACAAATTAGAATGAAGTAAGAGACAAAAACTAACTTATATAACTTGGTCCCAAATTCCCCATTAGCCATCTGTACCCTAAAACACTCTAGTTTTCAAAATGTACCACTGAGCGATCAGTAACTTCCATACATTTATGGAATCAATGATCCATTCAAATTTATGAGCATTAATCCTGTTGACTAATATGACATTTTAAAATATTACTACTGCTCTCCATAAAATCCTACAGTCAGTGAAGCCAGCTACATCCACAATTCAATTTATCCACTTTTCTTGAACTTAAAGAGGAAGAAGAATGCCTGAAACATTTACCTGCTTGATCTGTCTTGGAGAGCTCCTGCAAGCACCGTCAGAGGCTGAACACTGGGCAGAGGTAGAAAGTGATGCCATTTTGGCAGTGAAGAAATTAGTCTGTTGATAAATCCAAAAGGAAAAAAAAATTACAAAATATCTTCTAAAGTAGAAAATTCTCTCTAGGATTGACCAAAAAATAAAAAAAATTAAAAAAGCAGCCAGTAGAAACGACACGTCAGAATGCCCTACACAAATGTATGCTTGATACCCTTTCTGATCACTTTCTAGTTCAGATACTGCAAAAAAACAAACAAAAACAAAACAAACAAAAAAAAAAACCTGAAGAGTTTAATCAAGAGTAAGAACCATCTATGCAAACTACCAACTTTGCTTCTGGAGCATGAAACTTTTTAAAGTTCCAAAGATAGGACTAAGGAGAGCAAAGTTTTGCCACCTCAAAATATGCCTTTTGGGATATTGAGTTAAGCTGGTTATTAGGAAACGAAGACTCACAAAGAACTTTGACATCTCCCCTTTTACTTGCCTAAAAGAATTCAGATAGAAAAACCTGCTTAAAAGAAGGGACATTAACCGAAACCGGTTTGGCTCAGTGGATAGACTCCGGCAGGCATCTTCAAACTACGGCCCACGGGCCACATGCGGCCCGCAGAGGAGTCTGATCCGGCCCGCCAGGTTTTTTGGGCAGTGAGCGCAGCCGAGGTGTTACAGTAGGAATTAGTAGTTCATATAGTCCGGCCCTCCAGCTCTCTGAGGGACCGTGATCTGGCCTCCACTTTAAAAAGTTTGAGGATCCCTGGATAGAGCGTCAGCCTATGGACCTTGGTTGCGGGCACATTCCAGTGGGGGGTGTGCAAGAGGCAGCTGATCGATGATTCTCTCTCATTGATGTTTCTGACTCTCTATCCCTCTTTGTAAAAAAAAAAAAAAAAAAATCAACAAAATATCTTTTTAAAAAAAGAAGGGACATTAATATCATAATATAAACGAAATGTGTCAGGGAGAAATCTAGCAAAGCTGGTGTCCTTTAGTCCCACTGTTTGTGGGGGCCCAGTAAGAATTTGTTTATCACATGTTTGCTCTTTCTCTTGAGATAAGTGGGGAGAAAATAAGGTCAAGTATGGGCAGTTCTTTGACCTGAGCATGGCGTGTAAGAAAGAAAGATTCACTACTTTTGATTGGTTAAAGCAACAGTCCACAAAGTTCATGCATATGCAGGATTCGGATGCCTGAGGGTTGATTGAAAGCTCCAATACATATTCCCGAATGTAAGCACTCTTCTGTTAATTAGCCCACAGCTATTCACCGTTAATTATTCCTGTTTCTTCTCACTCTCAAACAGCTATATTTAGACCATCTAAAATGTTCTCTGGTCAAAGGCAACTAAATTCTTACAAATTGGGTTAAATCAAGGTGGACATGTATCATCAAGGAAAGATACAGCATGAATTGAAATAGAGAGTAAGATTTAATTTCATATTCTCACCTCTACCTTTTCTCCTTAAAGAAAAACTGTAGGGAAGGAAAATGACAATTTTAAATAAACTTGCTTCAGTTTACTTCAAGCCTTTATCTATTAAAAAGGTGACACTCAGTGAGATCTACGAACAAGCCACATCAGGAAAAGGGTGAAAAGAGCCTAGAAAAGCCAATAGTCTACCTAAAACTATGATGAATAGAGCAAGAACAGGTAGGCAAAATTTTGGTCCCCTTCAAAACCAATCCTGATCTCCCCACACGTGCTAGCTCTGTAGTCCTGCTCATTTCAGTGAATGGCAATTCCATCCTTCAGTAGTTCAGGTTAATGACTTTAAATCATCCTTAACTTCCTTTTTCTCTGACTCCACACCCAGTCCATAAATAAATTCTGATGCTGTCTTCAAAATCTAAGCACTTCTCCCTATACTAATCCAACTACCCATCTCCAAACTGCATTAGCCTTTTTAAAGTTTTCTTGCTTCTGATGCTGGAGGGGTAAGTCCCTAGGGGAGACTTAAGCCCAAACCAAGAAGGTTTCTGGCTTCATGAAGAAAAGATTTCAAGGCACAAGCCAGACAAGAGGCTAAAACCAGAGCAAATTTATTGAGCAGAGAGGATAAGCAAGAAAAGCTGCTTCAAAGAGTAATGCTATCTCCTCACAAGAGGAGGAAAACATCCCAACTGTCTCTAAAAGGTGAGCTTGTAGCTGTTTATTGTTTCTATGGAAACTAGTATATATGGTATGGGGAAATAGATAGCGGGCAAGAACAATGGGGTTAACTTTAAGCTTTTTAAAAAAATATTTTTAATTTTTTTATTGATTTCAGAGAGGGAGAGACAGAAACAGCAATGATGAGAATCATTAATCAGATGCCTCCTGCACGCCCCCTACTGGGGACCGAGCCCACAACTGGGCCTGTGCCTTTGGCTAGAATCAAACCTGGGACCTGCAGGCTGACACTCATCCACTTAGCCAAACTGGCTAGGGTTAACTTACTTTGACTTAACTTATATAATTCTCATGCCCCTCTTCTTCTTCTTCTTCTTTTTTTTTAAATATAATTTACTGATTTTTTACAGAGAGGAAGGGAGAGAAATAGAGTTAGAAACATCGATGAGAGAGAGAGAGTCATCGATCAGCTGCCTCTTGCACACCCTCTACTGGGAATATGCCCGCAACCAAGGTACATGCCCTTGACCGGAATCGAACCCAGGACCCTTCAGTCCCCAAGCCGACGCTCTATCCATTGAGCCAAACCGGTTTCGGCTCATGCTCCTCTTCTATTCCACCTTTCTCCTTAGCTCCCAGCCTCCTTCCTTCTGTCTTTGCTCAAATATCAGTTCTCAGTTTTCAAACTGCAACTCCCAACCCCCAGAGTTCCCTATCTCTTCTTGCTTAAATTTTCTTCACAGGACATGTTATCAACCAACACACTACACATCTTAATTATTTATCATGTAAAATATAAGCTACAAGTAAGGAAGGATTTGTATTTACTTATTCATTAACACATTCCAGGTGCCTAAGATAACTATTATATACATGACACAGCAACATAATGGACACAAATATTAATAATGGTGTGGATGATTTCCAAAAATGGCCCCCAATGAAGCACATCTCCCAACTGGCTCTGTGACATAAACTAATCAATAGGACGCAACTGTTAAATTAAAAGTTTTAACTTCCACTCTGGCCAGTTTGGCTCAGTGGATAGAGCATCAGCCTGCAGACTAAAGGGTCCCAGCGGCACATCCCCGGTAGGGAGTGTGCAGAAGGCAGCTGGTCGATGTTTCTCTCTCATCGATGTTTCTAGCTCTCTATCCCTCTCCCTCTCTGTAAAAAAATCAATAAAATAAATATTTTTTTTAAAGTATCAGATTTTTCAACGGGGGGAGGGCAGGCCTTAGCACTCGTCCTTTCTCCTCTTCTATCTTCCATGTTCTGTTCTCAAAATTCCCACTCATTCTTCTACCTAGGTCAAAAGTCATTTCCTTGGTCAAGGCTTTTCTGACTCCCCAAGGGAGGCTGATGACACCAGAGCAAATCTACTAACACTTACCACCTTATATTTATGTTTTTATGTCTATCTCCTCCTACACTGAAATCATAGAGCAAGAACAGTTCTATTCATCATGATGATGAAAAAGGAGTGGTTTTTATCCTATATTTAGTTCAAAAGACTCTACACCTCACCTTCAAATCCCTACCTTTGTTAAGCAACATTACCACAATAAATTCAATAAAATTTCTTTTAAATATCTACCCTTGAAGACAACTGTGTTTTAAGACTAGTAAAAAAGTCTTGCCCTGGTCAGTATGCTAAATGGTTAGCACACTGACCTTCTGCACCGAAGGGTTGCATGTTCGATTCCCAGTCAAGGGTACTTGACCTCTGTTGCAGGCTCAATCCCCAGCCTGGGCCTGGGTCAGGGCATATGTAGGAAGCAACCAATCCATGTGTCTCTCACATCAGTGTTTCTCTCTCCTGCTCTCTAAATATACTCCTGTAAGGACTAAAAAAAAGTGATCCTTCCTTTCCCTTACTCCATCCTTCTTCCCATAAAAATCTTCCATTTTGTACAACCCCACGAGCGCCCTTCTAATTGCTAAATGGGATGTTGCCCATATTTAATGCCAATTGGCTCTTCAAATTTACTTGGATAATTTTGTCTTTTTAATAAATTAATAAAACTTTATTTCTTATAAGGGAAAAAACACACACGACTATTCTGACCTTTTAGTTCTTACTAGGTCTGTTACACATATACAAAGATAGTGTACAATAGTTTACAAAACCAACATGCCAGGAAATAACCTAAAAATCCATCAATGGCAAACTGTTGAAAGAAGCTGTACAAGCCTGTAATACAACCCCACGAAATCTTTAAAAGAAAGTATTCTATGTATATGTTATGTAAAGCTGTCCCTTATAGTGTTTGGAAAACTTAAGGTGCAGACGATACAAACAAAATGATCGCACAATTGTTTAAATATGTGCAGAAGAGTCAGGAAGGCTGTAACATCAGGCAGTTAACAGTAGCCAGCCTGAGGAGGAAACCGGTTAGGGATGAGAGGTAAACTTCACACACTTGTTTTTTTTAAACTGGCCCACACTGCCGCTTAGGGACTCTAAAAAGCTGTGATCCTGCCCAGTGCAGTGGAGGGGGAAAGGATGAGTGTGTGAGCAATAAAAAGGCCTCTTTCTTCCACGCTGTGGCCTTCCACAATTTAAGAGAAGTACCTGGTAATTAATCCCCAAAAGGTTAGTTCTTCTGATTCAAACAGCCTCTCAATTCAAACAGCAAGACAAGATAAGCTACTTTCAAGTTTACATTCTTGAATACCCCTCCTCCCTGCTATTTTTTTAAAACTCGGATAATCTGGTAATTAATCCCAAAATGGTTAAGTTTCTCAGATTCAAACAGCCTCTGAATTCAAACAGCAAGACAAGATAAACTACTTTCAAGGTTACATTCCTGCATTCCCCTCCTCCTAGCTATTTTTACACCCAGGGATAATCTGCGCCCAGAAGTCTCTAGTTAATAGACAGTTCCCTACCTCCTCCCCTTCAAACAAGCCTCTTGAACTCTTCCTAACTTCTGCTCTAAGCATGTTTTACAGGCTTTGGAAAAAGACTGATAAGGCACCTCCCTAGAATAGGACATCTGCCTATTGTCTCCAGAAGCACTAACAAACTACCACCCCTCAGGTCTGCTCAATTTCAGCCCCCAAATCCTCCTCCCTTCCTTATCACTGTGGTCCCTGGGTTGATTAGCAAAGCACCGGCCCTTCCCTGCCTTCCCTTCCAGGAAAGTAAATTAAGCTTCCTCTCTGGATCTCTTCTCTCCGTGAAGAGTTCTTTCACAGCCGGGGCCCCCTTCCCCCTAGCGTCCCCACCCCCCACCCCAACACACACACACACAAACACAGAAGCAGCAGCATTTTCTCCCGGCGTCGCTTTAAAACAGTGGTTTTCAAACTGTAGGGTGCCCAGGAATCAACGGGGAGTGAGGTTGTGGGAGGGGGTGGGGGCTGCGCTGATTAAAATACATATTCCTGAGCCTCATCTCCTGACATAGTTGGGAGGTCTGGATGTGGCACTAAAGTGACATTCTTCAAACAAGCACCCAGGCCTCTGAGACACTGGACCCGCAGCCCCGAAAATGGCTACCCTAAACTCTTTTAAAATATATTTCATTGGTTTTTTTTACAGAGAGAAAGGGAGAAGAATGCCTCCTGCACCCGTCCCACAGGGGATGTGCCCGGAACCAGGGTACATGCCCTTGACCGGAATCGAACCTGGGACCCTTCGGTCCGCAGGCCGACGCTCTATCCACTGAGCCAAACCGGTGGTACCTAAACTCCGGACGCACCGTCCAGTTACTCTCCCGCCGCCCTCTCCCCACCTCCGCGCTCCGAGTGCCTCCGCATCCGTCCCGCCCCGCGTCCAGCTCCACGTCGTAACCTGACCACGGGCTGGGTGGTAACTGATGGCGGAGCCGCACCGCGGCTTTCGTCTCCCCCGTCCTCCTCTCACAACCCTTTCCCCACAGCCAGGCCGCCCGGCGCCCCGTCCCCGGCCGCCCACGCCGCCAGCTCCTCCCGCCCGTCTCCCCGCTCCGGACCCGCGGAGCCCGCCCGCGCGCAGCTACCGCTCCTCCTCCCTTTTCTGCCCTCCCCCCGCTCCCGGCCTCCCCGGCCTCCCCGGCGCCGCGTCGCCGGAACCCCAGAACCATACCTGGGGGCCACTCACGCGTTGCTCCCGCGCGAAGCCCAGAGGACTTCAGTCAGAAGCCCGCAGGCCTCAGGCGCAATTTGAAACCCGGGTGGCGACCAATGAGAGCGCAATTTCCGGTTTCCCAGCCGCCTCCCGCAGGAGCTTCCGACGAGACCATAGATGGTCCACTGGAGGGCTGGAGAGCTAGAGAGGACGAGTTCTCGCTCCCAACCATAGAGTAGACCCCCTTCCGGGAGACAGAGTGGCGAGGCCTGAGGTCTCGGGAAATCGCGAGATCTTGTGACACTTGCAGACGCGTCCTTGGAGATCAGAAACCCTGGAGCAGAAAAACGTAAGGGCGGCCTCCGAGGCAGCCTCCAGCTTATCAGAAAAATGCTCTCCCTCCGTTCCCCGGGAGGTGGAATTAAAAGACATTGTGTTGGGGGAGGGGGGCAATGTTAAAATATGTACACAGATAATAATTTAATAAAAAAATGAAAAAAAGACATCGTGTTGGATATTGTGCAGAAGATTGACGTAGTGATGAATCACACTGTCCCATAGAATAACCACCCAGCGACGTGAGGCCTGAAATGTGGTAGCCCAAATTGAGACGTGCGGTACGTGTAAAATACACATCAGATTGAGAGTCTTGGTAGGAAAAAAAAATAATGCGAAATATCTCATTATTAATGATGTTTTATGTTGATTACACACCAAAACGATATTTTGGATATGTTTGTTGGGTTGAATAAAATATATTTAATTTCACCTGTTTCTTTCTTTTTTTTTTTTTTAATGTAGCTACTAGGAAATTTTAAATGACACCTGTAGTTTGCGTCCTGTTTCTGTTAAATTACACTGGTGTGGAATGCAGGCTGGGACCAGACTGGAGAGGATTTTGAATGCTGCTATAAAATGTTCCACTTGTTATTCAATAAAAAATAGGGAAGAATCAAAGGGTTTTGAGGGGGGGGTCTAATATTATTAATTCGATGCCTCAGAATCCCATTCTACCATTACCTCCTGGTAGATGATTAGCTCTGGTGAGGTGATTCTTATAGAGAATACTTAATATGGTAGTCCTTGTTGTTGTTTTCATGTACACGAATGGAACAGATCTAAAGGTGACGTTTTTCCTTTTGCCCAGAATTAACCCGATATCTAAAATCTAAATTCTAAACCCTTTCTAAAATCTAAATTCTCTACATCTCCCTCCATTCCAGTCAAATAAGTTAAGCCTTATATACAGAATGGTGGCTGTAGTTAATTTGTATCACAGATGGAATCAAGGAACAGCTAACAAAACCCTTTCTTATAATTAAAAAAAATTAATTTAAAAAATTAAAAATGCCCCCCCACACACACACACACACACAAACTATAACAACCCTTTCTTGACCCACTCTAAGCCCCTCGGTGGGTCATTCTCAACGTCAGCCGTTTTGCAGAGGGCAGCGCTCAGGTTATTGTGGCTGAGGACGAGAACAGCCTCCTTTCCAGTCCCCCAGGCTTAATAAGGCTTCTGACCCCAAGGTTTTCTTCGCGTAAAATTACTTACAAAATTTCCAGTCTCACGATGAGTGTCCTTTCTCCCACTTTATATTACACCGTTCGACCCAATAGCTTCAGAACAGCGTGTTTGTATTCTCCTCGGCTCATTGTGTTGTTTGTTTGTTTTCTGTTTATCCGGGAGGCTTCAGAACTTATATCCACCCTACTATCAATCGTATAACAGAGCAGACATCACTGGGTTTTTGTTAGCTGTTCCTTCATTCCATCTGCGATACAAATTAACTATAACAAATTTACTTCAAAAGTAGTATACCTCGCCGTTTTCTTAATCCTGGACCTATTCGAGAGATCACAAATCAAAGAAGCCTGCCTTACCGGATCCTGGTTATTGTGTACATAACTATCTCGCAATTCTGCATTAGCTGGTAATGCTGGAGAAAGGTACATGGTTTATTTAGGTCTTGTGTTTTTCTTTGGCGCGCGAATCCCGAGCTTTCGCGGATTTCAAAGTGTCACAAAAGGCAGGCGGAAGGACTTGATTGCACAAGAGTCCTGAATTTTTGTAAGGGTTTGCTACGGCTCTAGTTTCACGTGAGAGCCCGGATAGCTCAGTCGGTAGAGCATCAGACTTTTAATCTGAGGGTCCAGGGTTCAAGTCCCTGTTCGGGCGCTATGTTTTTGGCTTTTTTTTTCCTCCCTTTTTCTCTTTCTTGTTTTAAGCGGGCGCATTGCGTTAACGAACGTCTTTGTTAGATTTTATTTTTGCTTTCTCGATTACTAGTAATCTGAAAAAACAAATTCCTTTTCGCTGCGAAACTACTGCGCAAAACCTTCTTACTCACCAAGAAATTATGCAATTGCGCATAGTCATTTTTCTCCTGAGAATATTTATTGTAGTCTGAAATCAATGAAAAACAAAGTAAATTCAACTTAAAATGTAAATACACTTCAGCATTGGCATTAAAATAACACGCCCGAACAGGGACTTGAACCCTGGACCCTCAGATTAAAAGTCTGATGCTCTACCGACTGAGCTATCCGGGCGCTCCTGAAAAGGCACTGTTCATCTCTTTACTTGATATAATTCTAATGCATTGCTTTTCCAAAATTTTGAATTTAGATATTAATTCATTTTAAATTATCTTTTTGAAGATTTTTTAAAAAAAATTTTCTACATTTAAGGCATATGTTCTTCAAGCTCTTTCATATTTGATAAATTGTCAATATCCACTGGATTCTCTAAAACTCAATGGTACGAAATTACAGAAAAATGGGCAGCCACGCTGAACATCACTTTCCCCATAGGACCTCTTTTTTTTTTTTTACCTCTTAATTTTATTCCGCTGAGCCAGATTACAGTATTTTTCCCTTAAAAAAAAATACAATTCCCCTTTGCTAGATGATGTAGCTGTTAGGTAAGCACCCCTTAGCACAAACGAAGATACATTTGATTCAGGAATAGAGGAATTGTGCTTCTGGATTTACATGGAGTGAAAAGGAGCGTTAGACCTTTAATTCAGAGTTTGATTAATTTTTGCCTTTCCCTCTTTTCCAGACAAGTTATAGTTTTCAAGTCAGACTCACACCCTGAATCCTTCTAAAGCAGTATAAGTGTACACCTGTGGAAGAAGCAATATACAGTATTAAGAATAATAATTTCCAGATTAGCCCAGTTTTTCCTACAATCAGACTTATCAGCCTTGACGCATAGGGTGTGGAACACAAGATTGTGAAATTTCAAAGACTGATAAGGGAATTCATTTTTGTTTCTGGGAACTTGAGGTTTCCAAACACAATGAACAAAATAGCTCAGCCTCAGTGGGAGGAATTTCTTTCCTACAATTGTCTGATTATTTTAGAATAAGGACCAACAGATTGTGTGATCCTGAATGGGCCTGGGTTTCCGAATTTATAAAATAAGGGAAATTGATTAGGTGATCTATAAGAAGCCTTCTAAATCTAACAATTTACCACTCTGTTGCTCTTCCCACTGTGGATAAGAGTAGAAGAGAAAGACTCGAAATGCAAAGGGATGATTTACTTGAACAAACACTTCTTGATCATCTATTACTGCTTAGGCTCCAGGCTAGTTCTAGAGTCAGAGGTTAGTAGCACAGGTCCTAGTCACAGTCTAGGAAAGAAGGCAGACATTTAAGCAAACAATTTTAATAAAGAAATAGATGCAGTCATAAGAATTCAAGTACAAAAGTGGCAGGAGATGAGAATGGACGGAAAGGCAGGGGTTATATAAGGAGGGTGGAGGTCCTTGAGTTTTCAGCAAAGAAAACACATGACCAGAGATGTGTGCAAAACACATTGTAATGAGCCAGGCAGATATTCATTGACTCATGCAGACATTTCATAAGCACCCACTGTATTAGATAAGGAAAACTTTTTGCTCTCTTTTTATGAGTAAGATGCATTATACCTAGGTAACTTTTTAAAAATATACTTTATTGATTTTTTACAGAGAGGAAGGGAGAGGGATAGAGAGTTAGAAACAATGATGAGAGAGAAACATCAATCAGCTACCTCCTGCACACCTCCCACTGGGGATGTGCTTGCAACCAAGGCACATGCCTGGGACCCTTGAGTCTGCAGGCCGGCACTCCATCCACTGAGCCAAACCGGTTAGGGCTAACTTTGTAAAAATTTAAATTGTTTTTTGTTTTTTAATCACAGTTAACATACAATGTTATATTAGTCTTAGCTGTATATTACCTTTTTAAAGGCAGATAGTTAAAGGAGCCTTCATGTTTTTTCCTGCCTAATTCCATTCTGAACAGATAATAAAATGGCTGCTTAAAATCAAATAGACTGAATGAGATTAATCCATCAAGTTACTTATTGAGCACCTACCATTTCCATAGCAGTGAGCTAGGCACAGTGGGAGGGGAAATGGTAAGTTTGGAAGAAAAGTGAGGCATGCAAGTTCTGTTTTGGGGGGGCGGATGAATAAATCAATCTGCCTGGAAAGGAGGGAGGAAAAAGGTGCTAGGTTGGAGACAGCTGGCTGGGGAATAATTTTATCGAATGGGCAACAGTTAAATTTGAAAGTTCGGTTTGTTAACGTTGCAGTCCTATCTGGGTCACATGAACCAAATAAGCTTTTACTATGCTGCATTACAAACCACACCAGGAGTGCTATCCTGTACCTTATGTAGCATCTATATTAATAAAATGGTAATATCTGATTAGACTGGACATCTTTCGGATGTCCTTCTGGACAAAGCCACAGTGGCAGGGGTGAGGCAGAGGCAGTTAGGGGCGATCAGGTCAGCAGGGGAGCAGTTAGGGGCATTAGGTTGGTAGGCAGAAGAGGTTAGAGGTGATCAGGCAGGCAGGCGGGGGTTAGGAGTCAGCAGTCCTGGATTGCAAGACGGATGCCCCAGATAGGAGAGGGTGCACCCTCAGCCCCATGCATGAATTTCGTGCACCAGGTCGCTAGTGAAATCATGTGTTTCCCTCAAGTTTCTCTCTTCACATAGACTGTTGAACTTAATTCTCCCAGTAGAGGTCAGTCTAAGCTGACAGATTCTATATTTGAGGCCCACCCACTTTCCTTCTCTCCTTCCTTCCTTCCTATTGTTAACATCATTAACAATAGGAAGGTAAAAAGGTGCCCCTTTTACCTCCCTCCCCACCCTCCACCCAGCCCCTGCCCCACCCCAGGCCCAAACCACATCATTATCTGTGTTCATGTCCTATACATACACACATACATGTCTTTGTTTACTCCCTTTCAGCCCTCCCTCCCTCCTCCCCTCTGAGATCTGTCAGTCTTTCTATGTACCCATGCCTCTGGACCTATTTTGTTCATTATATTCCACGTATAAATGAGATCATGTGATATTTGTCTTTCTCTAACTGGTTTATTTCGCTTAGCGTATTAAGCTCCAGGTCCATCCATGCTGGTGCACAGGGTAAGAGATCCTTCTTTTTTACAGCCCCATAGTATTCCATTGTGCAAATGTACCACAGCTTCCTTTATCACTCACCTACTGATGGGCACTTGGGCTGTTTCCAGGTCTTAGCTATTGTAAATTGTGCTGCTATGAACATAGGGGTACATACATCCTTTCTGATTGGTATTTTGGGATTCTAGGGATACATTCCCAGAAGTGGGATCCCTAGGTCAAATGGCTGTTCCATTTTTAAGTTCTGAGGAAACTCCATACTCTTTTCCACAGTGGCTGCACCAGTCTGCATTCCCACCTGCAGTGTACTAGGTTCCCTTTTCTCCATATCCGCATTAGCACATGTTATTTGTTGATTTAAATTCTTTATTTTTAAACTATGGAACGCTTCACGAATTTGCATGTCATCCTTTGCACAGGGGCCATGATAATCTTCTCTGTATTGTTCCAATTTTTAGCATGTGTGCTGCCAAAGCCAGCACTGTTGACTTATTGATGGTAGCCGTTCTGGCAGGTGATGCATCATGGTAGGGGGTTCCCTTTTCATTTTGTTGTGCAGAAGCTTTACAGTTTGATGTAGTACCATTTGTTTACTTTTTCCTTTGTTCCCTTGCCTTCGGACAGTGGTCGGCAAACTCATTAGTCAACAGAGCCAAATATCCACGGTACAATGATTGAAATTTCTTGGGAGAGCCAAATATTTTAAACTTAAACTTCTTCTAATGCCACTTCTTCAAAATATTATAGAATCACCCAGGCCGTGGTATTTAGTGGAAGAGCCACACTCAAGGGGCCCAAGTGCCATGTGTGGCTCTTGCCGACCACAGCCCTAGCCCATAGCAGAGCTGTGAGAGAACATAGCAGCAGTAAATGATTTCAATCACCTTCCCCTCCCTCTCATTTTAACCACTTGCTCCCTAATAACCTACGGCTTGTTATTACCCCTGGAGTCATAAATGCTCAAGTGCCCCATTATCTAGCCCACATGTGTCAAACACAAGGCCCGCGGGCCAAATCCATCCCGCCAGGCCTTGCAATGTGGCCCGCACCGCGCTGTCATCACTGTACTCCGCTGCGTTTCCATCACAATGACAGTTTATGACTGTTCAGTAAACCATTCGGCCCGCGATTTAGGCTGGATTTTAGATTTTGGCCCCTTCTCTGATTGAGTTCGACACCCCTAATAGCCGGTCAGTCAGTCTTGGGTGTAGAATGTTAAATCTTCATTCATTCACCGAGTCCTTGAGCACCAGCTTTGGCTCAGGAGACAAAGTAGACCTGGCAATTAAATGGTAAACCCAACAGAGGTAGCCTAGTCCTGAAGGAGCTTATAGTCTAGTTACCCTGCTCTCCCATGCCCTCCTCAATTCGGACAAATGCAAACAATTAAGACACTGTGATTAATGTTACAGTCCAGGCAGCTAGTGGGTGTGGGTAGACATCTTCAGAAGGCACCTTGGGAAGCTTCCTGGAAAACTAGTTGTAGGGTGTATTAGTTCACTGCTGCCGTTGTAACAAATGACTGAAAATTTAGTGAATTTTACTGAAAAATTAAAACAACACAACTTACCTTACAGCTTCAGAAGCCCAACATGGGCCCCCCGGACCAAAATCAAGAGCCAGCACACTGTGATCCTTTCTGAAGACTCTAGGGGAGAATCTAACCCCTTCTCTTTTTCCACTTTCTAGAAACAGCTACTTTCCTTGGCTCAGAACCTCCATTCTCCAACTTTAAAGGCAGTAATGCTGCATCTCTCTTACCATTCTTCCATCATCACATCCCCCCACACCTTTTTTTTTTATTCTCACCTGAGGATATTTTACCATTGATTTTTAGAAAGAGTGGGAGAGGGAAAGACAGAGAGAAACATCGATTGGTTGCCTCCTGTATGCCCCCACCACCAAGGCCCAGGTCAGGGAGGAACCTGCAACCCAGGTACATGTCTTTGACTGGAACCAAACCAGGACCTTTCAGTCTGCAGGCCAACACTCTATCCACTCAGCCAAACTGGCTAGGGCGTCCCTCATATATATATATATATATATATATTATTGATTTTTTACAGAGAGGAAGGGAGAGAGATACAGAGTAGAGAGTTAGAAACATCGATGAGAGAGAGTCATCGAGCAGCTGCCTCTTGCACGCCCCCTACTGAGGATGTGCCTGCAATCAAGGTACATGCCCTTGACTGGAATCGAACCTGGGACCTTTCAGTCTGCAGGCCGACGCTCTATCCACTGAACCAAACCGGTTTCGGCTGTCCTCTCTCTTTTTTTTTTAAATCCTCACTGAAGGATATGTTTTTATTGATTGATTTAAAAAAAAAAATGGGGAGAGGAGAGAGAGAAAGAGAGAAATGTCAACCAGTTGCTTCCTGCACACATTCTGACTGGGGATCGAACCCACAACCTAGGTATGTGCCCTGACAGATAATCAAACCCACAACCCTTTGGTACACCCTTTGAAGATGCTCCAACCAGCTGAGCCACCCAGCCAGGGCATCACATCTCCCTTTGACCTCAACTGGCAGAGGTACTACAGTAGTATTCTGCTTTTAAGGGCCCATGTGATTAGATGGGGCTCACCTGGGTAATCCTGGACAATCTCCCCATCTGAAGGTCCTTATCTTAATCACATCTGCACAACCCTTTCTCCGCTCCCTAAGATAACATTCAGGGTTCCAGGGAGTGGGAGGCAGACGTTTCAGACATTTCCTCCTTTGGGAGGCCATTATTCTGCCCGCCGTGTAGAAACGCAGCAAGGCAGGGTGATGGCGGTGGCGATTGGGGGTGGGAGGCCCTTTCCAGGCTGTGGGAAAAGTCTGTAGAAAGCCCCTTGGTGAGATGAGACCTGCAGGGAGATCAGCAGGACCAAGCATGAAGTTTGCATTGGGATGCAGGAGAGAGCTATTTACTCACCTACATGGCAGGTGTTGTTCTGAGGATCAAAGGACAAACAAGAAGAAGTCCCCGTCCTCTGAGTCCAGAGTGAGAAGCAAGGGACAGATTGTGAGAAGCCTTGTTGCCTTTCTTAAGAGGTTTGCATTTCAGCTAAGAGCTCTATGGAGCCTCCCCTCGGACACAGTTTATTGAGCACGTGCTATGTGCCAGGCACAGTGCAAGGCTCCAGGAATACAGAAGTTTAAAAACCAAAGTAAAAATCACCCCCCCCCTTTTTTTAGATATGATATATTTTATTGATTTTTTACAGAGAGGAAGGGAGAGGGATAGAGAGTCAGAAACATCGATCAGCTGCCTCCTGCACACCTCCCACTGGGGATGTGCCCGCAACCAAGGTACATGCCCTTGACCAGAATCAAACCTGGGACCCTCTATCCATTGAGCCAAACCAATTAGGGCAAAATTCTCTTTCATTATGGAACTATATACCAGCAGGTGTTCAGCAAGGAAGCAGGTGTTTGCTTTAGGAACATTGCTCTGGCTGGGGTGTCGGAGAAAAGGTGGGCCGGAGCAACACTTGTGGTGGCCCCAGGGCTTCTAACTCCCCCTTCGAGCTGAACAGCTTTTCCTCAGCGTCATGTCCCTCCTGGGGCACCTTCTCTTCTGTCAAGAGCTCTCTTTCCCGCCTTTATCCTACCACTGTGCCTGCTCTGCAACCCCCAGCCCTGATTTAACATTCCACACTTTGGCTTCCCAGATCTGCAGAAGAAAATGATAAAAGCATCCATATTGAAACCACTACATGCTAGAGTATCTGACCCCAGCCATCTCCTCAGCTCTGCCCACAATTCCATTCCTCTAACACAGTGGTTCTCAACCTTCCCAATGCCGAGACCCTTTAATACAGCTCCTCATGTTGTGGTGACCCACAACCATGAAATTATTTTCGTTGCTACTTCATAACTGTAATTTTGCTACTGTTATGAATCGTAATGTAAATATCTGTGTTTTCCTAATGGTCTTAAGTGACCCTGCTAGCAGCTCTCAACCTGTCGAGACCCACAGACCACCGAAAGACACAGATATTTACATTATAATTCATTAACAGTAGCAAAATTACAGTTATGAAAAAAGTAGCAACAAACATAATGTTATGGTTGGGGGTCACCACCACACGAGGAGCTGTATTTAAAGGGTCACGGCCTTAGGAAGGCTGAGAACCACTGCTATGACAAGCTACCACTCCTTCCTTTCAGTGGCTATTTTAACCTTAACCACTCTCCTTAATAAGCCTCAGTCCCATCTTGACCCCTTCTCTCCCAGGAGATGACTTAGCCGCTGTCAGGTGGCAACCACTTCTCTCAACTTCTAACCTCTAGGCCCACCACAAATGCCCTGCTTATGCATTCTTCCTCCCAAAGACAGCCCAGGCCGCCCGCCCTCCCGTGCCGAGATCCCATCTCCTCCGGGGCATTTTCATTAATCGTCTCTCCATCTCCTTTGTTTCCCCCTTCGCCTAGGAGCATGTGTAAACCCTTCCCATCTGGAAAATAACAACAACAAACAACAAAAATCTTCCCTTTGATTCTGCATTTTCCCCTCCACTGCTTTACACTTCTCCTTCCCATGGATTGCCCAGTTTCTGGGAAGAGAGGCTTATATTCCTGTGTCTCTTGCTCCTTAACTCCCTGGAGCCTGGTTTGACCATGACTGTTCTCCCACCACCACTGGATGGTACTGGTGATTTTCTTGCCAATCCAAAGGGCCATTTTCAGCCTGTCCTCCTGACTGTTCCTGCTGTGCTTCTGTTCCAATCTCTTTCCTGAGACCTTCTCCCACCCTCCTTTCTGACATTCTGTGGTCTCTGTTTTTCTATCAACTTCAGTGATTATCCTTGGTTTATTATTTTTTTAAAAAAAATATGTGTTTATAGGCAAGGGTTCTTAACTCCAAGTTCCAACAACCGGCAGCTGCAGTTGCTGCAGTGTAGTCTTCAGCTTCACGGTGTTTCCGTTGGCCAAAAACGTGCTAAGCCATCTCCCAGTTTGAAGCATTCAGCAAACAATGTCAGGGCAGATTCACCAGAAGAAGACACCTGATTTCCATGACAAAGATGGCAATGCTATTTTAGCTAGCCGAGCCACTTTTTGTGTTGCTAAAGGTACTTATACAGCAACACAAATTGGAATAGAACGGAACCTGTCCCCTGTTGGCAGAGTCACCCCAAAGGAATGGAGAGATTAGTAATCATCCCAGTTGGTGTGATAATGAATTATTTCAAAACCAACTCATAATTGATGCCAAGTGAAAGAAATGTGAGCCCATTAAAATATGGCATGATTGGAGAAATAAAGTACATTTGAAACCTTCAAAAAAATAAAAATAAAAATATGTGTTTATTAAGTTGATTGGGTAACATTGGTCAACATGAACATATAGGTCTCAGCTGTGGGTTTCTATGTTGCAAGATCTGTATATTGCCCTGAGGGCCCACCACCCAGAGTCAATTCATCTCCTGTTACCATATATTAGGACCCCCTTTTACTCTCCACCCCCTTTCCTCTGGCAATCACCACGATGC